AAAAAAGGCAGCTCCAATAAAAGATAGTGAGCAGCACAAATATGTTTTTAAGATGGGATTTCAAAACATGAAGAATTAAGGTCTCAAACATCACCCCTGATTCTTTTTTTATTATTTTATTTATTTAGTTTAAGTTTAGATCCTACCAACAGCTCCAGGGTGTCCAGATCTGTAGGAGAAGCACGGTAGTTTCCACTGGGACCAGAATATATGCTTGCGTCAAACACAAAACAGAGCTGTTCAGAAGAATATCATTACTTACCCTGGAATTCAGAAATGTGTAAATGTACAATTACTGATGAACAAAGGTGGAAAGAGCTGATGATGAATTAAAAGAAGAGTCGCACGAAGGATGTAAGATGGGAGGCTGAGCTGAACTAGAGGGAGGACTCTAACAGAAGATTAATGAGAAATGCACTTTGAGTTGTGTTCTGGCAACTTAATCAATTCCCTTGAGATGTTCTTTTGCTGCAAGACATGTTATAAAGTGTTGAACTGGAGCAGATACATCAACCCTTGTGTTTTACTAACATTCATACACAAGTTCAGGTTTTGGAGCATACATTTGGAGGATTTGTGTACAAAAAACAATTTTATGCTTTTATGTCTTTGGGTATTGATTAGTGTTGACTTCACTTGCATGACAAATATAAAAGTAATGCAGAAAAGGTAAATCTTTGTAGGTATGTTTGTGTATGAAGAATATATCTCCTCAATAACCAGTGAACAAAGAGAACGTGTTCCTGCCCTGCCTGGTCGAGGTGTAATCGCTCCTGCCAGCACAACCACAGAGAACCGCCCGCGTCATCTCCTCCATGCCCAATAATAGTACTATCTGTTCGTGAGTTATTCACCATTTAACTCTCTTCACAAGTTTTGCTGGAGCAGTTGTAAAAATGAGTGCATTTTTTAACAGCCTCAGCCAGTTGAAGCTGAAGACAACAATGCAGTTCACTTGTTTTTCAACAGAACCTGTCAAAGTAATAGGCCTGGGTATCATGGCCAATTCTCTGTATCGATTAGATTTCGATTCATTAAGTTCAGAATCGATTAATCATGATTCGATTCAATGAAAATGTTTATTGATGCTGATATTGTATTTTGCAACTGTGTTGGGCTGGGTATCATGGCCAAGTCTCTAGATTGATTCGGTTCATAAGGTTCTGAATCAATTAATTTAGATTTGATTCACTCTGAAATACTGAAAATGACTCAGCTGTTTCAAACTACAAATGTACTTTGTTTAGTCTCTTCAGTCTTCACCATAAACAGGTTTTTGAGTTCAAAGTTGTAAATTGAACAGTTTCAACTTGAACTGTAAAAAAATGTCAAGTCTCAAAGGTACAATATTCACAATTTAAAAGGAATTGCAAATGAAATTGTACCTGAACTACAAAATTATATTATTACTGTACTCAAGTCATTAAGACACTGTTTCTTATAGTGCAAAAATAAAAATAGCAGTACATAACTAAAAGTAAACAAAACTCTCAAGTCTTAAAAGGTGCAATTTTCACAAAAATGAATTAGAAAATGAAAATGTACTTGAACTAGAACTACAATATTCTGTTACTTTAAATGTTATTGAGGCAATGTCTTAAGTGCAAAAATAAAAATAGCACTTAACTAAAAGTAAACAAAACTCTCTCAGGTTTCAAAGGTGCAATTCCAGAATTGCAAATGAAGATGTTATTGAACTTGAATATTCTATTATTGTAAATGTCTTTAAGACATTGTTTCTTAAAGTGCAAAAATAAAAATAGTAGGTAACTAAAAATAAACATAACTCAGTCAAGTCCTGTTAATGTGGCTCTGTTCTCTCACTTGCTAATAGTGAGATTCTTGTGCAGGAAAATGAGCTCATTGACATGATCTGGAGTTAGGCAGCTTCTTTTTGCAGTGACAATATCCCCTGCAGTTGAAAATACCCTTTCCGATACAGCACTTGTCCCTGGAACACAAAGATATTGCTTCGCTAGGCGAGCCAACAGTGGGTACTCCCTTTCATTAGACCTCCACCAGGTCAGAGGATTTTCATTCATCCATGCAGGTTTTTCTACCTTGTATCTTCTGACTTCATCTTCAGCCATCGTTGCCAGAGTCTTCTGCTCATTTTCTTCTTCTGTTGAGTAKACTGCCCCAAACAGAGACTCCAAGATGCTGGATCCCTTTGGTTTCTTGGGCAAAGTTGCTTCCCCCGTCTCCTCAGCGTCATTGCCTGTATTTTGCTGTTGAATAAGAAAAAAACAAAAATAAATAAATAGATTGAAAATCATTTATGATTTCATTACATAATATTCCTTAAAATGCAATAAAAATAATTTAATAATCAAAACATTCATATTTAATTTAACATTAAAAAATACTTGCATCATGTGCAGCAGTGGCAGCCTCAGTCTGCAGTCTGGAAAAGGTCTGATCTCGCTCCTCACTGGACAGGGTTGGTAGGGTCTTAAAGCGATGATCCAACGCTGATGCTGCATACGTGTCCTTCTGTGCATCATATCTTAAAGACATTTCACAGATTCATTAATATGACTAAAACCATGGCATGCATACGAATATACGATCTCACACATTACAACGTGCATGGATTATAAATTGTTAATTGCTAAAACTAATCAGTAAAATTAGAAAATGCAAAGTACAAAACTTTGCTTTGTAAGTTTTCATTTTTTCAAAGCAAAAGAGAGGTTTTAGCATACCTTCAAAATCCCTCACCACGGTGGAGTCTTCGAGGCTCCGGGTCAAGGCCTCTTGCAGCAGAGYGAGAAGTGGGGCGATAACGGACAAAGTTGGTTGCTTGTCCTCCTGCATTAGCTCCATYGCCCGAACCATGTTTGCAGCATTGTCCGTCACGACTGCTGGGTCTTTGCTGGTCAGCCCCCACTCGTCTATGGGCCTCGTCAATATATCCGCAATATTACTGGCGGTGTGGCTCGTGACAACCTYGGTGGTCTGTAGCACATGAGACACAAGGCACCACTCTTCGTTGATGTAGTGAGAAGTCACCGTCATGTATGACTGCGTTGACACTGATGTCCAGGTGTCACAAGTTATRCCGACTCTGTCTGCTGACTGCATTTTCTTTAGTATGTGGTCTTTCACACATTATACATCCCAGGGATAACAGTTTCAGTCAGGTGTTCACATTGCACCATAACATAGTTTGGCTCGAGCACCAAAACAAGCTGCTTAAAGCCTTCATTTTCCACCACAGAGTATGGGCGTAAATCTTTGCAAACAAAAGTTGCGATGGTCYCTGTTATCTTGGCCCGCGGAGAATCGACTGATAATGTTAATGATAGGTTTTTTTTGTTGTTTTGGCCCAGACGACTTCTCGTCTGAAGCTAAAGTTAGCATAGCGTGATATCTTGTCAAGTGGCTTCTGAGGTTCGTAGTATTTCTGCAAAAACTGACCTCCGCTGGCAAATCTTGCAAAACACTTTGGTTTTATCCAACTCGTTGTCCTTTACTGTTTTAAATCGAAAATGTTTCCAGACAACAGACTTAAGTTGAGATGGCTTGCTGAGCGGACTTTTACTTGCATTCGCCATTTTCTGTCTATGCGCATGTGCAGCACTTGGATGAATGTCAACCCGCGTAAAGCAAGCCAGGAGGGACAAAAAGGAACGTGCCTGTGCTTTGCCACGAGACTACTGAAAAAACGTTCTCCTGTCCTATGAATCGATATTGCAAGAATTATGTGAAATCGATTCAAGATAGATTAAATCGATTTTTTTTTTACCCAGCCCTACAAAGTACTGACCAATCACACAATAGTTGACACACAACCCTGGGACAAAATGTTCTGCCTGAACATCATGTTGAGAATGTTCACTCCAAGCTCATCACATTCTCAGCATTAGCAGATTTTACTTAGTCTCAACAATTGATACAGGATCTTCCTTTGCTTTCTTGTATTGATACCCATATTGAATCACAGTATTGTGACTAAGAGGTGACTTTTATCGAATCATATTGGTTTTCTSCTCATGCCTCTTTTATTGCATCATACTTCTCTTAGTATGGATATAAAAGAGCTTTGATACGCTGTTTGGTCTAACTCTCCACTTTTATGTGTATGACTCGTCAGATTTAATCTACAGTTTTAAAAGGCTTTGTGATATGTTGTTACCCAACTGTGAAGTCTAAGCTCGGGGTGGATTTGTTCGGATTTAATTTGAAAATATATAGATAGATGATCAGTTTTATATGATTTGAATGGCCTCAGAATGAAACAAGACAGAGCCACATTTATACCACGTCCTATCTCCCTGAGAAACTGATTTAATAATCAGCGCACACAGCTCACAAACCACCTTTTTCCCTTCAGCTGTCTGCTTTGGGTTTTGATTTTTTTTAACAACACGCTTACAGTCCATATCTGTCCCGGATCATGCTTTAAATGGCTTGGTGCAGAACTCGGCCTTCTCTTTCTGTATTTTGCTTGATTGTTTTGCTTGTCGTCACTTGCCTGCTCACAGGGTTCGTTGTGCTTCTTCATTGGCTAGATCATTGTTTGCTTTGCTACCTGTGGTGGTTGATAAATGCGGCGCATCACTTGTGTTTGTGTGTGTGTATTTATATATACGCATTCATTCTCATGCCTCACTGTCACTCAAATGCACACAAATTCATAGGCTCCACCAAACAGCAGCTGACAGAAACACTATATCAAAACAGAAAGTGAGGAACTCCAAGAAAAGCTTGGTTTGAACATTGCTAGTGTAATGGAAAGTACAGATACACAAATAGCATTTATTCATACACTTCACTGTATTAAACACAGTTATTAAGTGCATTATGGGTGGCTAAAGACACAGCAATTATCTCAGACACTTGGTCAGAAATGCACTCTTCCCTGCTATCACTAATCATTTACTGTTGCACTGGTGCTTGCTTATTTTATTTACTCCTTTTCTTTGCTATTTCTGTTTTTCTTTCCTATATTTTCCTGTGTTCATTGTAATCATGACCTCTCGCTGTTTTAATTTCAGATTTGCATATCCRCTTCCACTCCTTCCTCATTTGCATACAGCGAGAATGGCGAGCGGGCATCCCACAGACAAATTCAGTTTCATGTATCAACCAGACACGCACAAGAGGTACGGGGCACGCATGCACACATCCTCACACACATGCACACAGACTTTTAAAATGCCCAGGTTTCTAATGGTCAGGTAAGTTGAAATAAATGGTGGCGTACTTGGTCATATTTTTTTTTCATCTTCTCAGGGAAGAAATATGACTTTGAGGACGTGCAGTAATGTGCTGGCTCTGTTAATAGTCACCTTTTACCATGACCGATCCTAGCACGGGAATTTATTATTGGCCATTCATTTTTTAGGTTTGTGGTGTTGCTGTGCCATGAATTTGTTTGTGCATTAGAAAGAAAAAAAAATGCAAATTTTGATTTAATGCCACAAGAGAAAACACCAGTATTCAACTAATCCAACCCTTTTTATCAGCACTTGTGTTTGATGTTATTCCAACATTATATTCTAATATTAAGCCTACTTTGGAGTGATTATTCACAAGGTTTTGTTTAGTTAGTTTTTGTGCATGCTTGCAGAAGTCCTCATAGCAATCTGAGACATTAACATGGTGATGCGCGTGCTTYGTAATCTTTCTCTTTTTTTCAGTCGACATGAGTTTACGTCCCCTGCCCTTAAATTTCCTTTTCTGTCTTTTTGTTTTCCTCCTCCTTTTCTGCCCTTTTTCTTAGTAAAAACAGATTAACTTCAGCCATGAATCCAGTCTACAGCCCTGTTCAGCCAGGTACTCCATATGGAAACCCTAAGAACATGGCCTTTACAGGTAAGATCTACACACATACACAGCATCACTCGTCTGCCACTGTGAACACACTTCTAAGAATGGCACAGATAGCATTTAAGGTATTAATTACTCACCAAGGAGACATTTTAAAAGTTTTAATACTGCAGACAGGGCAGTGAAGTCATTTTATTAATGCTTACTCAGAATTTTGAAGAAAAAAACTCAAAGCTCTTGTGTCTCCAAAAGGGACTTTACATCCAAACTAAGCACTTACCTAAATTCTTGTTATGAGCCAAACAAACTATCTGCACCACATAAAGTGTACAGAAAATATATAAAATAAATAGTAATAATATTGTTAGTATGGAGACGGTATGTTGCAGTGGCTGATTCTAATGTTCAGTTTTTATATAGCACTAGTTCTCTAATTCAAAACTGATTTTCTCTGTCACTGAAATTGAATTAATTGTAATTCTATGGTCTTTAATTTTACATATTTATTATGCAGTGTGTATGCTTCGCACAGCTCTAGAGTAAATAAGTTTTATTTCTTTAAAACAGAATTATTACTACTTTTAAGCTAACGTTTTATTAGTGTTTAGAGCGATTAGCCTTGCTTACTGTAACAGCAGCGTCTGTTCATTCTTCGATACTAAATACAGCCTACCTTGGCTCAAAAGTTTTTTACAGGCTGCCAACTATAGAGGATGAAAGCTCAAAAGGACAAAACAGAGTTAATCATTCTTGCTGTTGTCTGCTGGTGTCTTTTCTTCCTTCCTAAACCTTCATTCTATCTAAACAGCAGAAATAAAGAAAAACAGTTTCCAGTTGATAGCCTCGTCCATTTTTGTACATCTTTTGACTTTAAAGTGATCCCCGATTAGTTGTAACATTAGACTTTATTTGATAAACATTTATTTGAACTGTAAAATAAAGACTGTAAAAATACTGTAGGCTGTTTAGTTTTTATAATTTTTAAACTAAAAGTTTAAAAATATATTACATGGACGGGGCCATTTTATTTACATGCAAAGCATTCTGGGTAAATGATGTGGATAGGTCCTCAGTGCGAGGCTGCTAGCGAGCTATATCCACCCTGCAGGTTAATCTTGGACAATATCTGATGATTGACTCTTTTAAATGAAACCAGAGAGCGTTGACAAAGAGGAGAAGGTAGAAATGACTCAGCCTGTAACTGAAAATATAGATGGAGGACAACAGAGCTGCTTCATGGAGGTACACTTCGCTGCAGCATGCAGAATGGGGCGGTGACAGACCTTTCCGTCAGTCCCATACCTTATATG